GGGGGTAGGGGGAGAGGGGAGGAGGGGAGGAGAGTGCTGGAGTAGAGAATAGTGCCCAGTTCCATCAGAGACTGGGACCTGCATCCGCCCAGCTCTTGGAGCTGAAACTGTCCCCTATTTATGGTTCCCAAATTAGTGTGTGCAAGGGTTGTGTCAATGTGACTTAGGTCATTCTCAGCCTCTTGTGGCAGGATTACTTTTTTAGATATTACGTTTTGCTTTACTCTTCGTGTGGTGGGAGACGCAGAAGACCGAGAGGCGTTTTGCCATCTCTCAGCCAAGAGGGGAGGCAACCCTTCTTGTTCCCAGGGCAGCTAATGGCTTCTCTAACAGTTGTTCTCAGTGCTGGCTGAACACAGAAATTGCCAGATACTTTGAAGGTACAAAGGCCCAGGCTTTTGTCTGAAGCCAAGGCCGATTGTGTGTGGCTAGGTCTGTAGGTGCCAGGGGCTGGGGGTTGAGGGGCAAAATGCCTGGACCCAGAGTGGGAAGGGGTGCTTTCCAGAGCCCAGGATTGGGTGCAGAGTTTGAGGGATTCTCCAGTGGTAGCACCCCCTTTTCCCAGCAATCCCGAAATGTGAGATATGGTCTTTGGGGCCTGAACACCAAGAATTGTGGTGTTGGGTTTTCCAGTCAGGAGGCAGAAAGCACCCCAGATATCCGAACAGAGAGAATTTACTATAAAGAATTAACATAGATATAAAGCTAGGCATGTCACTTTAAAGTCAGGTTGCTAGGTAACAGAAAGAGTGAAACAGAAAATTCTTAGTTGTCCCAGAGATGCATAAAGCAGCCACCAGCCCAAGGGCTGGAGACCCAAGGACAAAGTTGGAATTATTAAAACACAGAAACTTGAACGAAGAGCCCCTGGAGCCTAAAACACAACCCTCCGAGGAGGGTCCCATGCCCACCGGTAATGGCTGGCATCTCCAAAGAGGGCTCTGGGCGGCTGGTTCTGCAAAGGCTGGAAAAATTACAAATTGCACTTAGCTGTCGCTAGGGAGCTGCGGCTGCCACGGCAAAGAACCTTCCTGCCAGCAGCTGAAAAGCAGGCCGCTCCTTCTCCTCCAGCCCTACAGGTCCTCTGGCGTCCCCTGTTGTCAGAGCCTGGCAGGGCAGAGTCCCAGGGGGAGCTGAGTTTAGAGGGTGAGTGTTATGGGTTGAATTGTGTCTCCCTCATTAAATTCATATATTGAAATCCTAATCCCTAACCCCTGGTACCACAGAATGTGGCCTTACTGGAAAGTAGTGTTGTCACAGGTGTAATTAGTTAAGATGAGGTCATTAATTAGGGTGAGCCCTAACCCAGTATTTCTGGTGTCCTTATAAAAACGGGACATTTGGACACATGGGGAGAATGCCGTGTGAAGATGAAGGTGGAGCTCTACCAGCCAAGGATTCCCAAAACTGTCAGCAAACTATGAGAAGTAGCAGGGAGAGGCCCGGAACAGACTCCCCCTCAGGGCCTCAGAAGGAACCAGCCCTGCCCCCTCCTTGACCTTGGACCTCCGGCCTCCAGAACTGTGAGAGAATACATTTCTGTTGCCTAAGCCACCTAATTTGTTGTATTTTGTTACGGCAGCCATAGCTGGACAACAGTTTGGTCCAGTCCCCAAACGTTGCTTGGCCCAGGGGAGAGGAGGGCCACCCCGCGAGGATTACCTGGGCTCGGACAGTGGGCATCACAGCAGCTGCCCCGGGGGACAGAGATTTCTATCCCGTGGAGAATCTCTCCTACCCCCGATACCGTGTAACCCCCAGATTATTGTTCTACTGAGGGGAAGATCCCCCCACACACACATACACACGCACACACACACACACGCACACTGCCACCAAACATGCCCGAGGTTGAATTTCTTGCCCTCTTGGCAAAGGGCAGCTCGTAATAAATTTTGATTTAGGAAAAATGCCAAAATTGACATTTCTTGTACCTGAGAGTTATGGAACAGATTTATGCTTGATACACTGTATTTTTTTTTTTTTTTTTCACTCAGCCGGTGGGCACCTTTCAAATAAGCCAGCGGGAGGAAGAAAGTGCTAGGTAACTAACTGTCTGCCTTCATTCGCTGTTGCTTGGTGGGGCTGCGGGATAGAGTGGCAGCTGCCATGGGAGGCTTTGGTGATGTGGAGGCGAGCTATTTTGGGGCGGGTCATTTTGGCCATGGGTATTTCAGTAACACAAGTTCATTGCTTCTTCATCAGAAGGCACAGTCAGAGCACGTCTGGGGCTGTTTCTGGTTGCTATGGAGATGAGCCCCACCCAGAGGTTTCCAGAACTCCTC